TGGGTCCCTTCTTGGGTATTGGTTGAGAAGTATTAGTTTTATTAACATTATGCCAACTAATGTGAGCCTTATTTATTCAGGCTAAGTGATTAGGGTGGGTTTGCCACGGGTTAAAACCTTTTTGCTGACGGCTTGACTGAATGTGGCCCATTTCTCTGCGGGGCAGGGCCAGTTTGCGAACAATTAGCGCTGCCGGATGGGACTGCTAAGTCCTTTAATTTGTGTTCTTCCTGGTTTTAGCAAAGTGCGCAAACTGCGGTGTGCCCAGAAGAAGCGGGCACATTTGAGCTTGCAGCATGCGACTGAACTGTACGCGCCAACGAAATTTGAACTGTGCGTCGGTTACGTTACATGTGTTAGACAACTCAGGCACTCCCATAAAAGAGAATCAAGTAAGCGGCCTCTTTTATACAGATTTTGACGAATGGATTGTTTTTTGAGGCAATATTTTTGTATTTATGGAGATATGAATAGGTTGCTGAAGAGATTTGAGTGTCAGGCCTGCATTTGTTCAAGCTCGTGTAAATATCATTTGCACTGTTTGTCTTTGCAGACCTGAAGAAGTCCACGATCGGCGTCACAGCTCCGTGCCAAGGGGATGCCATAAGCATCCACATATGGGGAGACGACATCGGTAGAGATACGTTTGCACGGGCCACTGCTGGTGAGGAACGTGGAGGAACTAATGGCACCGAGGTAATTTCCATTTGCTTATATGCTCTAGTGTGCATAGTCAAAATCTTCCATGGTTGTCAGGGCAGTAGTCGAGATATATTAGTTTTCTCAGCAAATTTGCCAATTAATCTGAGTCTTATTTATTTAACTGAGTAATAAGGGGGGCGTGTGTTTGTCACGGCCCGAAGCCTGCTTGCTGACTGTGTTCGCTGAATATGTTTCATTTCTCTGTGGACGAGTGCGATTTCGAGAAAAAAATCTAGGATTACTGGATGTGACTGCTAATTTCTTTTATTTGTTTTCTCTTTGATTGTAGCAAAGTGCGCAAGCTATGCTGTGCCCGAAAACACCGAGCTCATTGGAGCAAGCACTGTGTGGATGCAGTGTTTGTGCCGATGGTCCATGAGGACTGCGTCGCTTTCGCAACGTGCGTTAGACGGCCAAGGCACTCCAATAAATGGAAATTAAGTAAGCAGCCTCTTTTATATAGATTTTGACGAACTGATTGGTCTTGAAAGCGATATGTTTTTATTTATTGACATATAACTAGACTGTTTAGGGTCTTCGAGTGTCGGCCCTGTGTTTTCTCAATCTCTTGTGCATATTCCTTTTACCGCTTCTCTTTGCAGACCTGAGGAAGCGTATCGCCGACGTCACAGCGTCCTGTCAAGGGGATGCCATCGGCGCCCCCGTATGGGGAGATGGCATCCAGGATGAGCAAACGGCCACCACACGCAGTGTAAGCCATTTGGTCAGATCTCTGGCCCTTCGCGTATCTGAATATGCTCGACTGAGCATGAAAGTCCGCTTTCCTTTGCCTGACCTGTCACTCTTTCGCTTTAGCCTCGATCGACTCTATCGCGAATTGTCCGCTTTCTTCGGCGGTTCGCTTGCCTCCGGCCCTCCAGAACGGAATGAAACAATTGGCACTTTTCGAATTCTAACATTCGTCCCACTTCCACCCACACCCCCATACTCAACTGTACATACCTGAACATAAGAATAAATGTGAGTTTAACAGAAAATATGCGCCTTTTTGATTTCTCATGGACGTTGGTTGTGGCTCGAGCATACCGGGGATAGCGATGATTGGGCCATAGACTGTAACATAACGAGTCCAATGGAGGGCCCCACGATTTTTGAGGAGTGAGGTGGCATACAGAGCATTAATAAATCATCTGGATATCTGACTATGTAAGGCCATGTGCAATTTTATAATCGCTTAAGGCACTGACTTAAGTTAGTAGCTTGAGACCTCGCCGCTGCGATCTTTGGGCTC